ATTTTTTTCATGTGTTACTATGTAATTATGTTTTTCCAATATTCAAAAAAAAACAAACTCAGCGAGTGACTCCCTACAATCATGATCATAAATTGCCGGGTAACACCATTATTGGGCAAATTGCCGTTATTCACAAATTTTTGCCCACTTATTGCGTACGTACATACGTACAACATTCTCACGATCATCCGTTAATTTTAATACGAACTAATTCAATCATGATATTAATAACTGCGTACTATATTAGTAAATTCTGTAACTGAATACTTAACAGTAACTCATGGTAGAAATACGATAATTCTAATCATTCTATACCTATATACTACTGGAATAGCGAGTAAGTTTTACAATGATATTTACAGTAACTCATAAAAGAATTCGATAATTCTGACATAAACTAACTAGATATTGACATATTCCATGTGCAAATGAGATGTGAATAAGTTTGAAAAAAGATTTGTTGCAGAAACTCGTGACAGAAATCGCGATAGATTGAGTGCAACTAACTCAATCGCATATATATTACCGGATGGTAACTAAATTATATAAATCAAACGTATCCTATTGATATTTTTATTACTGGATTTAATGAATGATGTTGTACAACAATCTAATTTACTTGCACGTCTGATCGTACTGGTCCCGCGCGGCGTCGCACGCCGCGCAGCTATCTTATAAATTAAATTATGCAAATGTTCTTTGCAATATTTACTAATTCTAATATATTTTCACCTTTAGGATTATAAAATTCAGGAAATTCTGGGGTTTTTAATAATTCTTTTATCAAGAAATTGTATTCTTTTTCACTTGCTTCAAAAAAAAATTTTGCATTTAACTTGACTTCTATCATTTCACTTGGTGAAACATTAGTCACATATAGGAAGTGATGTAGCCTCCAGCATGCTGTCCATTTTTCAAAATAGAACGTGAATTTATATTAACAATTTTTTTATTCATCCGAGTTTTTAAATCTCTACCTTTCCAATTATCTGTAGTCTTATCCAATGCAATTTGGCTCATTTCTTTTTGTTGCTCTTGTTGACAAATTATCAGCAAGACAAAAAAGACTTCAGATAAAGAATAAACAAGTTTTAACATTTTATAGTGCTGATTTGTGATCTCTTTTTGACAATTTTCATAGTGATTATCCCATAAATTAAGATATATTACACAACTGTCAATATCTTTCATCTGTTGTAGCAATGGCTCTAATGATACTTGTGTTGAATCTACGTTAAAATACTTTTCGATTGGTTGTGAATACACTCCAGCCAGATTATTTGTGTTTGATGCAAAAATATTGGACGTTCCTTTTATTTTTCTTAGGTTATTCAATTTCTTCACATAATCTGATAGCTTTTTACTATAAGTAGTCGATCCTATTTGTAGTTCTAAAAAAAATTAAATTATAATAATTTAAATTTAATAAAATTTGAATTTTAAAAACATACCATTAAATTTCAATGTTGTAGAATTTATAGAAGTTGACTTTGATCGCTCTTGTTTGTCCAATGCTTTTCGCTTTCCATTGTTATTCTTTGATAAAAAAAGAAAAAAAAGAAAAAACAATTAAGTTAAAAAAATTTATTCGTTTTGTATGGCCTACTGTATTTAAAATTGAAATTTATAGTATATGCATACTAAATTATCATCGTAATCCGACTCTGAAGTATCTAAAACATCGCCGATCTTTAAAAGAAAAAATAATAATTAATATAATGATTGTTTTTATTAGAAAATAAAATTTACAAATCCACTACATTATCAGTTTCGCTACTTATTGGAACTTCTGTTATTAGAACAATTGGGTATTGACTATTATTCGTCAAAATATGCTTTAAGTAAAAAAAAAAAAAAAAGTTAAACTAAGTTTATCGAAATTCAATTAATAAAAATTTATATTTGTTCACCTGCTCATTTTGACTATTTTCAACGCTTTCTGGAGTGTCTTTTTCTTTAATAATCTTTTTTCTAATGTGGTTAGCGCTCCTTTCCTTTTCGGAGAAAGAACTATCATTTGATGAGATACTGATTGACTTTAATTTGGTAAAATAATTAGTTGAAATGTTATTCCACTAAGTTTAATTTGGGTATTTATATGTTTGATTATTCTTGCCTTTTGTTTTGATTGATTTTGGAGTTTGCAATTATCACAATAAAATTTTTCAGTAGGAATTTTTAGACTTTGGGTAAGAAATTGACATTCTTTACATGCTAAATCAGATAATTCTTCGTTTTCATTAACATTTTCCGGCTGAAGTATTGAATTTTGATCCTTCATTATTAACTCATTATGAGAAGGAATTGAAGACACATGGTTAGGAAATTAAAATTTTATTATTTCGCACCCATCTCAATGTTTAAAAAAAAAAAACTATTTAATATTGTAAATTAATTCTTACCAGATTAGTATCACTCTCATTATTTAGTTGGCTTTCTAAAGTGCTTTGTTTAGCAATATTTGCAACAAATGATCTGGACTAAAAGTTTTTACGCTTAATATTTTGTAAAATAAATAACTATCAGCGAAATTAGAACTTATTTAAATTCTTCCAGTTACCAAAATATCAGTAATGCTTGGCAAGCTTTCATCTGTCAAGTCTGTGGGAACTCTGCCTAATGCATCGTTGACATTTTTATCAGTAACCTTTTAGTTATTATAATAAGTTAATTAATATAATATTAACATGTTCAACTTAATTTTAGGATTTACTTACCTTATTGTTACGATTATTTTTTTTAGTAATTTTAAAGGTTTTGTTTATTTTGGATTGGCTCTTTATTCCTGCAGAATTGCTTTTACATGATTCAATTTTTTTTTCACGTGACGAAACTAAAATTCATAATTATATTGTCAAGATATTTTGCATAAAAAATTAAGGATACATAATTTATTACCTTGTCAAATTTTTTACCAAAATAAAAAAAAGGTTGTGATCCAAATAATGAAGATGTAGTAATTCGCACGAATAATCCAATTCCGTTACAATGCCAATTGTTTTACTTTGAAATTGATATTATTGATAATAATCATGGGTAAGATGCAAAACATCTGTTAACTTTAAATAAGTTTCATTTCCTTATTTCTTACATTCTTTTAAAGAATTATTGCAATCGGATTTTGCACAAAATCAGCTAAACTAAATAAGTTACCCGGTAATTATGGAATCTAATTTTTATCAGCCATAAAAATATCTTATTCAATATTCTTATTATTTATTAAATATTTGTAGGGTGTGGTAAGGACTCGTGGGGATATCATAGTGATGATGGAAATTTTTTCGATAGTTCAGAAGTCGAAGAACCATATGGACCTACATTTGGAAGAAGAGATACTATCGGGTGCTTTTTAAACTTTAAAAATAACACTATATTATATACTAAAAATGGAGTAAATCTGGGTAATTATTATTTAATGCTTAAATTTATTTGGGTGATAAAAGTTAACGTTTTACGCCATCTTTTAAGGAATTGCATTTCAAGACTTAAAATATAATGAATTTCGTAAAAAAGAAGATTCAAAGATTGATCTTTATTATCCTTGCATTGGAATAAGGTCGGAAAGTGAGCCTATACATGTAAAGGCAAATTTTGGAGATAAAAAGTTTAAATATACAGGTATATATTTTATCTAGCATCGAATATAGCATTGAATATTTATACATCTAATTTAAATAATTTTCATGAATAGCAATAACTGATGATGATATTGACGATGATCGAGTGAAAGAAGAATGGATCAAAGCTTTTAAGCAATTAGATAATAAAGACATTATTGAGGATTTTATAAATCAATTAAATTCATTCGAAATTAACCAAAAAAATACGGTAAAATATAGTGCAAAAGCTAATTTTATTATGGGAGAATATGAAATGGCACTTATAAATTTAAAAGATTTGCTTGAAAATGAGCAAAACAATGCATTCGCATTAAGATATCGCGGAGAAACATATCTTATATTGAAAGAATATGAGAAATTAAATACGGACTTAACAAAATTATTAACAATAAACAAGGATGATAAATGGGCATCAAAAGCAATTGAAGAAGTTAATAGGCGGTAATTATCATTAGAGCTTTATAGATAAAAAAAGATCATATTTTATTGTCAACGAACAATCGAATTATATTTCTCTAATTCTTATGTCATTATGCTACGTGCATGTTAAATCAACAGAAAGTAAGTGTAAAATTTTATTCATAACGATCAAGATATTTTATTGTCAACGAACAATCGAATTATATTTCTCTAATTCTTATGTCATTATGCTACGTGCGTGTTAAACTAATAGACGGTAATTATAGGATTTTATTCATAACGAACAATCGAATTATATTTCTTTAATTCTTATGTCATTATGCAACGTGCGTGTTAAATCAACAGCCCTATGCAGTACAATCTTGAATTATCTTACAATGCGAATTCTCCTGCAAATTCACGATTTGCACCGCCAAACAATGAAATTGGACCAGCCCCCGGCTTAGGACCGAGCTGAGAGATTACCCTTATCGGCCCATTGTTAACCCTAGCATAAGCCTCGAACGCAGGGAAATCATCAACCTTTCCCTTAAAGCTGAATATCTTTTTCTTACGATCAATGACCAAGGTACCTTTTAAGTCAATATCTGGTGAACCCGTAACTAAAGGATTATTTCGGGCGGCAGAAAATCTAAGCTCAACTCTCTCATAGGACCCGCTCTTTAAGGAGAAGCTCATGTCCTTATTGTTTTGGGTTTTCTTGCCTTCCACATCACCATCTTCGCAATCAACTTCTGTTGTTTCGTCGCATTTATGCATTTGTTGCAATTTATAACCTGAACCCGAGAACGTGACAATAACTTCAGAATGCATTCTAGCTTTTGCGTTGATGTCGTTGCTGAAAGATCGTTGATCGGTCAAAAAACAATCTCCAAAAATAGGAATTCCCTCGATCATGGACTTGCTTTTATCTTTTGGATATTCTTTGGTGACACCGTCCACCTTGAGTGGGATGAATGCTTTAATCCAAAACTTGACGGTCATGTCGTTTGCCCTAGGTTCTAGAGGTTTAGCAAGCGCGAAGGTAAAGAGCAGAAGCGTAAAAAAGGCGGACTTCATGTTGATTATTGACAGTAATTGATTTTATGTTGTGAAAAGTGTTGAGGATTATATTGCAAATTTATTAAATTCATATATCAAATTAAATATTTTTAATCGCATTATGTGTAGTGATGCAAACGGCTGGACCATACTCACATTCCAGATTACCCAAAATTAGTGGTTCTGCCACTAATTGTACTAAAAATATATTTTCCAAATCAAGTTTAATTTAATTAAACACAATATTAATTATTTACATATTTTGGCCCTAATCCACTTGACTTTACTAGTAAATTTGTGGTTGCAGGTTAGTGTATTGTATTACCTATTGCCCTAGTACTACTGTAAATCGCCGTATACAAGTTCCGGGTCTGTTACATTCCACCAGTTTTAAAACCTACAATAGACCCGTGGGTCTATTGTACGAATATGGATCTGATGATCGGGGGTTTTATGTGGGGTCTGATAATCGGTGAGATTTTATGGAGTTACCACAAAATCCCGACATCCAAAATCCCGACAATACAAATTCTGACAACCATAATCTAGGGATGGCAAAAAACCAAAAACCCGAAAAATACAAAAAACGGCAGTCTAAACCTACCTCGGGTAGGTTAATCAAAAATGTCGGGAAGGCAATTTTGCTTATATTTAACTATCTAAAACCTACCCTGGCCCTAATATAGGATGGCCCTAACCCTAAAGTTAATCGATAACATTAGATTTAGACGTCCCCCATAAAAGGTGCGATCGACACTATCCATTTTTGGTAAAATCCCTGACTGGATTATGCAATACGCCATACATGATCACGTTACACCAACCGATTACATGGTACTGAAATTCACCATGACACTGATTATAAAAAAATTTAGTCGATCGGTCGACTAACGACTTTATGATTCCTATCCTTACAAATAAGCGCACGCTGGGACTCAATGCAGGCTTCTAGGCTAGGTACTAATTACATCATAATTACGTTTAGTTCTTTTTGATTTCAGGTTGACTAACCGCTATGCGAAAAAAGATCTTTTTATTGAAAAGCAAATGTGGTATATTACTGTTTTGGAACATAATAATTATTTTTAATGGTTTTTACTGAGAATATGCTGCATACATTGGCGTTAGTGCAATTTATGGGTAAACTGAGATGGGATATGCTCCCGGGAATAGAAATTATAATTGCGCTGGGTATCTATCTTTCATGTGCTCGCTCATATAGTATTAGTTCATCTGCATACCCGATCATGTTTGATGACTACATTTCTGGATCTGACCGGTTGCTTGCGCATATCCCTGCTTAGCCGTTTACCTTTGTCAATTTCACAGGCAACCAATCAAACACTTTTAAACGGACGAACTCTGAATTAGATGGTAGAGAAGATTATACAAATCACACCACTGGTGTTCAACGCCAGTGTAACTAAATGATTATATTGACAAAATTTTTGTGATTAAGGTTAGGGTTTGATTGGTCAAAATATAGCTGTGGTGTTGAACACCAGTGTGATTTATAAATGTCCTTTAAATATACACTTTATTGATGCTAATAATTCGGAAAATATTTGATTTCAAAAGGTATAATTGCAGGGATATCAACAATGCCCTCAAATGATCTTTGAATCATTCCTCCTTATGGAAAAATCATGCAATATGTAATCAAATTTTGTAGAATCAACAGAGATGGGCGTAAAAGTTATCATTATTTAAAACGCTCAGAATTCTTCCTGCAGCCCAAAATGAAATAAATATTAATACATCAATAATGGGCCAATTAATTAGTACGGTTATCAAAACTTTTGAGGAAGTCAACGATGAGGAAAAACGTCGAAAACGAGAACAACTTCAGTTACTGGAAATGCTTCTCAAATCTCAGTCCGATCAATTTGATCAAGAATTAAGAAAAATGCTTTCTGGTAGTGATGTTGGAAGTGTCAAGGTGACTAAAGAAGGCCCCCTCCAATCTTTTAAAGAAAGCAGAGTCACAGTTTCATCCCAAGTAAATGTCTTCTTTATCCTTTTCCATTTGTTTTATCATTATTACTCTAATCATTACATTTATACGTCTTTAAGCCCTCTGAAGACATCGATAAGATTCTTGATTCCTTATTACCCACAGACAGTCAACATTTTGACTTCCTTAAAGGTCTTAAGGGTATTATTAAGACTGGCTTAAGTACTTTTCTGGGTAATTCAAATATTGGTGAACAGACGAAGGATTTCTTATATGTTTGTCTGTTGAATAATACGATCGTTAGAATAGACGTCAAGCTTTGGATGTATACATTTGGAGTCAAAGGAGTTATTGCAGAGTGCGAAAAGGCTCTATGCTACTCATACACCCTTTCAGTTGTGGACCACGAAGAGACTAGCCTAGATGCCCTTATCTTTTTAGTTACTCAAAGTGCCAATGAAGCTGGTAAAGATCCGAAGGAACTTATTAAACAATTGACTGACCTCTGGAATTCTCCTCTTCGAGATAAAACTCCATCCAAGATTCATAAGGAAATCATGAATAAAATGTTTGCTTAATGCCCAGTAGTTTATATTAATTGACAACAGCTAATTTTTCAAGCTTTGTATTCTGAATTCTTTTTAAATAAAGTCAGATTTTTGCATTACAATATGCATATATATGTATAAACGAAATACAAGCATAAATGCTAACTTATTTTGTATATAGTTGTTAAGGAAAATATTGGTATGTATTTAGGTAGTGAAGCTAAATTAAAATTACAGATTAGTTCAATTCAAACAGAGAGAGAACGTTTAGACCTTCTAATGCGTCAATATGTTGGCAATGACATAATAGTTCCAAAAGATCGTAAAACAATACCTTGGAATAATATTCCTTTTAAGAATTACCATCTCGGTGTGGAAATGGTACTTATTCATTAACTTTGGTTGGTTTTCCTATTTGAATATTAATGGAGTGTTTTTTATGTGGTATAAATCATGGACTTATCAAGAAAATCCCTTAATGACATTTTTACTAGTTACTTTTACATTTTTCACAATAATTTATCTTTTAAATTTATTTATTGGATTGCTAAATATAGCTATTGGTGATTATAATAAAGAAGAAGAATATTTACTTCAAAAGCACAGGTATTTTTTCATTGTTGTTTAATTTCCTAAAGTTAGTTCTTTGACAAGTTATTTACCTGACATTACATAGGGTTAGAATTAGTATTTTATTAGTTACAGATAAATTGTCACCCTATATAATATCAAGTTAGAGAAATAACTTTGGAAACCATACTATAACCAATTATTTTTGATATAAGATCATATTTGTAGATTATTTTTAAATTTTATTATTTTCATTGACTAAAATATAATTTATTTTTAAAAAAGATTATTATGGAAATTGAATTATTTTACATGTTCCCAAGTTGGAAACATGATAAAGAATGGTTTCCAGACTGGATGTAAGTATTAATCTGTAAATTTTTCATTTCTTGTATATTTTCTAACTATATTTTATTAAATTATTTTTAGTTATTATGATATGCCTGTTACTGAAGTTCGTAAATTAATTAACGCAATTGATAATGATAAAACCGTATTTAATTATTATCTTCCAGTTATTAGTGCGGATTTAAGAGATTTAGTAGCACTTAATGATGATATTAAGGAAAAACAAAAGAACAAACAAATTGATGAACTTAAACAACTAATAAATGAACTTAACAAGCAAATAGATTTACTAAGTCAGCAAATGGGTATACTAATAAGTGTACAAAACCAGCAAATGGATTTGCAGCAAATAAGTTTACAAAATCAGCAAATAAGTATACCAAATCAACCAAATCAACAAATGGTTATACTAAATTAGCAAATAGGCACAAAATTAGCAAATAGACATACTAAATAAGTAATTATAAAATTATTATCATAAGTTTATAGATATATATAGGGTTTTATGTTATATAAAATTTATATATCAAAATAAAGTATTTAGTTTACAAAAAGTTAAAATATATATTTTGATATCTGCATTTCGAATATGAATATTCAGAAAACTGTCATAAGGATTAAGTCGATTAATCATAGTGCTCCTGCGCATTTTGATCTCTAGCCAATCATATTAAGGAATAATAATTGAAACGGCATAATTGTAACTAAATTAAGCATGACCTATTATTGTAATAATTTTTTAATAATGATTGTAATAATTTTTTTTATAATGATTTTAGAACAATTTTCTAAAACACCAAGCTCGTTATTACTACAGAAAATGAATTTAACTCCTAAATTATTACACTTCTTATATAAACCACAGATTTTTATCCGCAAAAAGTCATCTGACCATTTGAATTTATAAAAAATTTGAATGTTTTTATTTTTTCTATTGTTAAGAAAATACTAATAAATTTTTTGTTAAATGAATAGGTATTATATTATAAAATTTTCCAAGACTAGAATTAGTAGATAATGACATAGAATTAAATAGGATTATAATAAATGAGAAGGAATTAAGCAATGAAGTAAAATAGGAAATTATAAACTTTAAACTTGAGCAATTCCTAGAATTAGTCTATTAGAATTGTAAATGTTGTAAAAGGCACAATCGTTATTACATACAATTAATATCTAATGCAGTCATATCAATGTAAATGTAGAGTGCTTAGAAATAAATTTACCTAATTATTCCATATTATTTCAAGATAGTCTCCTATTGTTTTATATTAAGTTGCAGTATTGACTATTTCTTGTTAAAAGAGGTTTTTTTTGCTGAACTGATCCAAAATCTAATCTGGATCAAAGTTGTCTCGGAAGGCAGTTTCCGGAGCAGAGCAGAGGAACTTAAGTCCAGACAATAGGTGAAAAAACTTGGGTTCCAGGGAGTATAAAATAAAATAAGAAAAAATAAATTCATCGCTCTTAAATGCCCAAATTAAAATTATATCATTATGTCGTATTTTAAATTTAACTTTTAATTTAGTGGCATATGACATATTTAATAAATTTAACTTTAAACACAATAATTGATTTACAAGATATCTGCTGCAGAAAATTTGATATACTATTTCACATAACTGATAATAAAACTGATCGATGTTAATACGTAACAATAGGGTGATTCCAAATTGACTTATTTCGAAAATAAGCAGGAGTTTTGAAACCCCGAGATCAGAAAATGAAATAGATGTAATGATATGAGTGACGGGATATGAAAACCTGTAAATCAATTCACTCGTTATCATCGCAGTGATATATACCCCAATTCTTATAGGGGTAAATATCACTGCGATGACGTTTAAAAGTGGTATTTATTTCAACAATAATCATAGCATAGGTGAAGTTTTTTATAATTTGTTCTTATCAAATATTATAAATATTTTTTTAATCGAATAACTTCTTTTGACTGTTTTATATATACCCCAGAGTCAGTCATTTGATATTAGTAAAAATTTAAACTACACCATGGCTGCTTCATATTTAAGTAGAATAAAAATAAATTCATACTTTGATTCAATGATATAATTTAGTAAGTAATACTATAACAATTTCTCAACATCTAAATAGTTCCATTTTCCGCCTGCTTCTTCAAATTTGTTTTTTTAAAATTTTTATTCATCTTTAAATAGTTATGCAAATGAACAAAATACCAATTATAAATTACTGTATGAAATTTATGACTAATTTACATAAATTTCTGATATTATCAATGATTTAATAAATTTATTTACAAAAATGAAAAATAAAAACCTATATAAATAAAAATTATAATTTAAAATATATACAAGTTAAAATAAAAGAAATATATAATAAAAGTATGACGATTCTAAATTTATTAGAGCTTTCATTCTGTCCTATGATTTCGATTCGTCGAATCAACTCTTCATTACATTGAGTTGATTCGATTCATTTATTCTCGACAAATTGAATTAAATCTAAATTCAAATACAGTTCGTCTGTAAGGATAAGATTGAATTCAGACGATTCAACTCTATCTATTGATCTCTGAGTAAAATGATTCTTTGATGGAGCTATTAAGATACCAATGGTTTCCATTTTACCGAATCTTGATAATACTCCTTCAATTTCATGCACCATCTTAGGCCTAATTTTATCACGATCCTTATCGTTATAAAATAAAAAACATTTAGTATCATAAATAAATTTAAAATTGATTAAATTAGATTATATACCTTTGGGATGTCTAATGCAAATCTAATTATGAACATGGTGCAGGTGGTATAGCAATGATCATTAATCATTTTTTGTGATAGTGAAATTAAAAAACACATAATAAATGTATTTTATTTATTAGTTCAAGATGCAAATTAACTATCGCTAATTATAAAAAAAAACTGATTAATGATTATTACTATATCACTTTCTAGACTTATATTAGACGCTCAAATATACCTTGCATTGAACAATTATTGTATATCCTCTCCAGCCTCCTATTCAATCGATACCTCCGTCTCCTGGTGCGTGTCTATCAGAGTAAAAAAAAATTGAGTATTTATCTTCATTATTGTCAAGAGTCAAGAAGAACATTCATAATCATATTTGAACACATGATTACAGCCATGAAGAGCTTTCAATTCTCGATTCATGTATCCTATTCACCACAGTTCTAGAGCAACTCTATAAATGACTTTTCGATAACATGAGAAGAACGTTCATAACCATGTTGCCACATGATTATGGCCACGATGAGCTTTCATTCCCATAAAAAAAGCGGGCCTTACCCTAAAAGTTGAAAAATGTGAATTTATAATGAAAAAAATAATGATATTAAATCATAAAGTACGACATGGACAAATATTACCAAATCAAAAGAAGAAAAAAGAAGTACAAAAAATTAAACCACCAAAAGATAAGAAGGGAATACAACAATTCACGGGATCAATGAATTACTTTCGGAGATTCATACCGAAATTTGGAGATATTGCAAGACCAATATATGACCTATTGAAGAA